TGAATGACTGTTGTACTCAGAAACAACCAAGGCCAAAAAGATACAAGTTCAAACAATCATTCTAATCAAGATCAACCAGAATAAAAAATAAGATACATTCACAACAATCATTTGACTTGGGATCAATTAAAATATGATGAGGTTGAATATGATAATGATAAGACGGTCATAAGATACAACTTCAACTGTAATCAGTCAAAATAGGAGTTCGAAAAAGATAAATGTTTGGTTCAATAGATTTTCATCCTCAGAATTGGAGATGAGAAGGTTGCATCACCGGTTGTTCAAGATCTGTAGGAGTGACTTTCTTAAAAGATTCATTAGTCTGACAAACCGTGGTCCGATTTGATATTGGTACGTCTTCTTCAAGTTAGGAGGAATGTTGAGTGAGAGAGGTGAGATGTGGCAAACCGGTTTCAGGCTAATGCCCGGTTTCTCATAATTGCTGCGGCTGCGGCCAAATTTGGCTTGAACGCGCGGGAAAGTACCGAGAAAAGCGGGCGTCGGGGATTTTCGAAAGCGGGCGCCAAATAGTGCGCTCCAATATTAATACCCTAAAAACCATTTTCCAAATTGAAATACCTGTATTTTTGACTTTTTTATATTGTTATTTATTCTTGTTGTTGCTGATTATGATCTTATGAAGAAGATTGAATACCCTTGTTTTAAGTAAAATAAGATTATGTAAAAATGGTTGATAATTGAACTAGAACACTATAACACAAAGATAAAAAGACACAACTTTTGCATGTTGGACCCTTTAGAAGGCACAAGGGCTTGGAATCTTGTACCTTTCAAGTTTCCTGCCTCTCTGTGCATATATGAGAGAGGATAGGCCCAAGGCAAGTGTTAAAAAGTTCAAGTTGGCCCTTTTTAGTTGAGAATCTTTTGAGTCAAGGTGGAAAATCAATGTGGGATGAGACTGGATGAGACCTGTTCAGGCTTTCTCAAGTGCTGACCGCCTGGTTTTATGACAGCGTACACCTGACATTTGGTGATTGCTTTGAACCTAACAGTGGGAGGTCACTGGCTTCAATTCTGGGGTGGTTTTAGCAGTCACCAAAAATAATTGCAAAAGATTGAACATTGAAATAAATGTTGAAAGACAATCAAGACCAGTGTCAAATTCTATGTCATCAAGTGTGAAAGGTGTATAGGAGTGTCAAGGTTTCTCTCACTCTTTCAATCTTGCTATGAGTGTTTTGTTATATGTTGTGCAATGCCAAACCACGGGAGAACCAAGCATATAGATATTCAACACCATTGGATATGGGAGCAGGTCAAAGAGAAACAAATAAATTTAACTTATTGTAAATCAGCTGATATGACGGCGGATTTGCTAACTAAACCATTGCATCCAGGTCCGTTTTGGGGGCATATGAAGGGTATAGGCTTGAAGAGGTTTCTTTAAGATGTCTTGATTGAGGGGGTGTGTTGAAAGACAATCAAGACCAGCCTCAAATATGTCATCAAGCGTGAAAGGTGTATAGGAGTGTCAAGGTTTCTCTCACTCTTTCAATCTGGCTATGAGTGTTTTGTTATATGTTGTGCAATGCCTTTTGTCCTATTGATGTTTTCCCCAACCAATCTTAGCGCTGATCTTTCCCAACGGTGTTTGTTTGAGTTATCAAGTTATATATATGTTACTCTATCCTCTCATCCTAAACTCTCTTTCCTCATCTATTGGAAAGAGAGTAAGTCTTTCATTATCATTTCTACACTTGTACTAATACTAATGTTATCGCACTAAAGATTCCCATAGATCAGTCAAGCTTTATCATTGGCTTACAACTTTATAAATTCTTGTTTTATCTTCCCTCCTTAAAACTCAGGTATGTTACTATTATTTAACTTGTTTATTATCAATTGTGTTGTTTATATTTCTCTCTCTTTTATTGTGTTCAGGTTAGTTTCCCAGGTCTGCATACCTGCGTGTTGGAGAAGAGTGCTGAGCTTTGAGCACTATCTTATTAGGTTAGTTAGAAATAAAAAATCATCTATTGGAAAGAGAATTACCATAGATCACTTAAGCTTTATCATTGGCTTACAACTTTATAAATTCTTGTTTTATCTTCCCTCCTTGAAACTCAGGTTAGTTTCCCAGGTCTGCATACCTGCGTGTTGGAGAAGAGTGCTGAGCTTTGAGCACTATCTTATTAGGTACACGGTGTTGTTAGACATTTACAATAAATAATTGAATGAATTAGATAATAATAATAAATAAGATAAGTGTGTAAATGTATGTAAAAACCCAATAAACATTTCTGATTACCACAACACCCATTTCAAAGGATCCAATGTAATCATTGTGTTGATGCACCACTTCACAAGCCACCCCGGATGCTTACCAGTCCAATTCAGCTGACGGGTTCATGAATATGGTGGTTGCCATTCCTTCAATCATGCCACTCTTTTACTTCAACACCAGGAAGACCCTTGTATGTCGCGGCAACGCCAACCATGTAAGGACCACAAACAGAGCCTTGACTTGTCTACATATAATTCCCTCAAAGTTCAGGGAAAGAGCTCTTGCATATGCGGAGCTTGGTACTTTGTTACACAAATTGGTTTACCAATGGTCTCTTATCTCAACCTGGACTAGTCAACAGCAATTGCCACCTGTTAGCTTCATAGTCAGAGCCCCAACCATTAGTTGATGATGAAGACATCACTCTCTTGGATCAATGTGTGAGAATCAAAGTAGACTTTTTGCCTTTGCACCTATCTTTCTTGTTGGACAACACCACCATCTTAAATTCACAATAATGTGAACAAAAGATGGACAAAACTTTCTGGCCCCAGCACGTATCTCAATGTGTGATTCTTGATACCAGATGGTCACACAGGGGTATTGGGCAGGTATTCATTACCATGTTGTGCGGTCAGTTGAAGGGACCTTAGGACTATGGCACTATGACAAGCACAAAAACACCGGGTTAAGTTGCCCGGCTCATCTCCTGCAAGGTGGACAGCATTTCTGGGTGCCAATCTCACACCAGTTGGGTGTGTTACACTTGGGTTTCATTTGAAAAAGAAAGAAAGATGGTCAAAATTGCCATTGAAAGAATGATGAAGAAATTCCCTGACCAACACCTCAGCATACCTTTCTCTATGTCTTCAAAGACTGTAAAATTTGGAGGCCTTCCCTCTATTGATGACCCTCAAGAGGAATTCCCTATGCCCCGGAAGTCATCTAACTTGGAGTGGTTGATCCACACAATACCTTTCCTGGTGAAAGTTCTTACAAAGCAGTACTCTGTGATTATGAAGAAGAGTGTGGAAACAATCAACTCGCAGTTCTCAATAACACCAACAAATATGGTCTCAGAGGCGGCAATATTTTCAAAGATCAAGCTTGCATTATCAAAACCCAAGATGGTAAAGGACGAGGCAATGGTAAACACAGATGTGAAACCTTGTAAGTCCAACTCCCTGATTGATTACTGGCCATCACTGACTGACTAGTAGATCTTTTCAGGCACCAAAGCAGCTTGCCAAGCAAATGGGAAATGAAGCAGATAAACGCAGGGATACGGCTGAGAAGTGCAAGTCTACAGCTGAGGGACACAAGGCTGCAGCAGATAAGCAAAATTTGGCAAATAAGTTGAGGACGGAATGATATTTTTTCAATGCTTTTGTCTTTTGTCATATCTGTTGTTAATGATCTTTTCTTTGTGTAGTTTCAATGAACACCCTGAGCTAAGCCTAATGCTTTCCCTTTTGTGAAGTAAAGCTGGTTCATAATCTCTCTATGACTGTTAATAAGGAAAAAGACCTTATATGCTCACTCAGTGTTAACATCTTGGTGTGGAATTACACTTATGGGAGGTAGGATGATAAATTTGCACATGGAAAGTTTACACAGAAATGTTTGGGGTGAAGATCTCATGTGCAAATATGGAGTTTGGGTACGTCAAATGTAATTTTAAGCAGAATTATTTTACACAGCATCATTCAGTGTAAAAAAATGCAGTGTAAGATGATATTTTGCGACTGGCTGCAAGAGTTTGACATTGACTTTTTTACACTGTTATTTTTAACACCGACAAAAAAATGAAACAAGTGTAAAAATCAAGACAGGGAGGGTTCTTTTGCACCAAATGAGTCGGTGTAAATGAGTTGGTGTAAAACTCTCCCTCCCCCTCGACATGGTAGGCCCCTACCAAAACTCCACTACGTACATTATATCCGGTCAGCTTCAGCCTTATAGCTCCTTTATGATATCAGATCTAGGCCCATAACCTCGAAGTTTGAAAGATGTAGCTTTTCAATCCCAGTCGTTCCGGTGTGGTCATATCACACTTGTCGAGTAGATATATAGATACACATCTTTTTGAGATGCGTCTGAACAAGGGGATCAAAGTTCAAAGGCTCTGTCGGTTCGATCGACTATGTCGTGTCAGAGACGTGACTTATAACCTATCCGGAGACTTCCGGGTGCCGCTATGTGACACTTGTCGAGGTAAGAGATGAAAGTGACCCGCAATCGTTTGTGACTTGCGTTGAACTGGCTGATAAGGTGTAGTGAAAGTCGTCTTCAATCCTTAGCTTTTCATTTGTTGATGAATGCACTACCTGCTTTCATACATACCTCAGGACCAGTGTTGTAAATATACATAAGTGCCTCACTCTGATAAAAAAGGCGGTGTCCCATGAGCAAACAGGTCAGAGTTTCTTATGGCACATATGGCAAGGAACACAAGCGGCATCTACCACATAAGTCATCATAAGCTCCGGCGATGATGGCGATTGTCCATACGTAAATGATATATACCCTCCGAGTATTTATAGAAATCGCAGTCTGAAGCGATCGGCGCCGTAAAAAGTATACGTAATTATTTTCTCAGAACGTTGATGGACTGTCGGAAGCACCAGTCAAGCAATGCTTTAACTCGTAATGTTTCTTTCAAGTGTGAGATTGAATGGAGTGTTGTACTACTATGAGCTTGACTCACCACTACAAAAGGAAGTCGTCCATCGGCTCAACATTGGTCGTCCTCATCTGAACAACATCTCATTCTTTGCGCACATTCTTTGTATCCACATCCACAAAAAAACCCATCATGAACAGATTTTCAACTACACTTCTTGCTATGGTTTTCATGACATCTCCCTTTTTGACCGGGGCGTTCCGTTTTGCGGATGACTTTGAGTTCATGAATATTCAGAATGCAGCTTGTGAGTCGCTATTGTGTCCGATGTTGCTGCTCCAGACTCACAACTTGGATGCTCTTTCTTTCAGCATGGTGGTCAGACAAATTGCAAGACTCTGTTGAGAAGTTTTATACAAGCTTTGATGAAGACCGAGGAGAGGATTTAGTCAACCAGATGGATCCGAATGCCGAGTTCAGCCATTACAAACAGCAAATTGCGGTAAAAGGTAAGTAAAATCCCCTGTAGTGTAACACTGTGGTAAATATTTTCTGACATCAACCTCTCCTGGTCATCAACTTCCGTAAGATATTCCCAATCACTTAGCTGCCCAGAAGTTAAACCACAATTATCAAACGGAAATCTACAAAGGTATGTTCCATAGTTGCATTTGTGTCTTGGCTCATCCACGATGAAGAAGCTGATTGCAGTGATTGACTTTTGTATCCATCTCCCGCATGAAAATATCTTCAAAACCCATAATCTTTAGTGATTCTCAGGTCCTCGAAAGAAAGAAATGCTCGCGTGATAATCTTTGGTAGAGTGCTTGAGCATGTAAAGAATACGGACTTTGTCGTGTTCATGAGTCTCATTCGAAACAATGACGATAAGATCAAAATCAAGAAATTTGAGCGAGTTGAACTGGACCCCGAGTGTTTTATTCTTAGAAAATACATGAAAGCATCACAAAGCAGGAGATGATAGGGATTTGTAAGGGTCAAACCTGCCAGGGCTGCAGATATGGCTACTGATTCTCACAAGAAATGCATCGGATGATGTTTACTTTTGTCCCCAGATTTAGAGTTGTATTGTTTGTTGTACATCTTTCCCGGGCAGAAAATCCTTTTATCAACCGTTCTGCCTTCTTTGAAAACACACGGAGCGTGTGAACTGTGCTTCAGAAAATCCCACACATAGAAAAGCACAAGTTTTTTCACAAGGAAACTGAGGGCGTCGCCGTCACTGATGACAGGGACACAAGCTAGTTAACCATTGCCTTCTATGCAGTCACTGCGGATGGACCCATCCATCACTTTTTCTTGGTTTTGTGACTTTCAGCTTTGAGACCCAAGGACTTTTGTATGTATCTTGAGAGCCACTTACTCTAGTCCAACGCAGAGGGTGGGGTTGTAGAGGAGACTCAGGCGCAGGTTTGTCATTAGTGGAACCTGTACATGTTGAAATCATAAAAGACAGTCTGATAAGGAGACAGGTCAATTTAATTGTGTATGAGGGAATTCAGCTAAAGTTTTTGCAAGCCAGATTCAACTTTATATGATGGCACATCCATATCTTTTCCCAGATGGCCAAACTCAAGTTGTATTTGAATTTTATTCATTTAACCAGACCTGCGAGTAGTTGGGCACAACCTCCACACCCCCAGCTACTAGCCACTGGAAGGCCAGGGAGCACCAGAACTTCAACATATTCTCAACAAATTCTCAATATGGGCTCATGATAATCTCAACATAATTTCTCTGTGGGATCATTTTCCTGTCATACCACCAAAATCCCAATGTCATCATATGACATTGTAAATTTGAACACACCTGCTCTTGTATTTGCACATCAATGAAATACAGTTCACCAAATTTCATCACATAAATTGGATGAGTTTTTCAGCTTTCAAAGAAAAAACATGGATCAAGAAAAGCTATTGTTGTACTATAAGGAAGAATGGTCTGCTTTGAACCACAGAGATATACATATGGAATAAAGTTAATATCCATTTCTGCCACATATGTCTCCACATTTTTTTCCCTGAAGTGTCTGTGTATCTTTCTATATGAATTGGATATGTATAATAATGTGTTTTCAGCTTTTTGACCTTAGGGAATGATTTGAATCAACAAATGGCCAAAATTATTATCAAATTACATTCTCATCCATATGGATTTAATTTCATGATAATTCCTCCCATATGCTTCTCCATCATCTCCAAAGCTCAAAGGACACTTCCAGATCTAGCTGTTCATATGTGATCAACAATTACATCTCCAATTACAATTCATACAGGCAAGATCTAAGGAGAAGCAGTGTGGAAAGTAATGCAGTCTGAAGGTAATCAATTTTCAAATTCTTTCTTACAGTGCAGGAATTGGTTTCTATCTGTTTTTTTCTTAAAAGCTTAATAACTCATCCAATTTACATGATGATAGTCTTCATCTGTGAATACAGGGGCAGGTATACACTGCGTCCACCACCTCCCTTCTCGACGTCGAGAAGGGTAGAATGACTTGATTTGCTTTGACTTTGTTCCAACCTTACTTCGAGTCAGTTCCACTACTGAGTATGCCACTCAGCAATTACTGAGAGATGGATCACTGGACGAGCGATTGAGCAGAAGCCATTGAGCCTCAGGATAATCCTCAGACCTTCAGACTTGCTTTGTTTTACATTTATATGTTTCCTTTATTTTGTTCTACTCACCGTGTTTGTCTAATGTTTGCTCGTCGGCAAGCGCACACGAGTCGCCTTTGTGCCTCAAAGGGAGTCCGTGTGCGCTTGTCGTCGAGAGACTGCCACACAGACACAGTGACTATAATCCAACCCTACTGACCCAAAACACAAACTCAACTTCAAATTCATCAACTTGATTCATCACCATCACCTAAAAAATCATTCATTAAATCAAACCGGACAAAGAAACTACCTATCAAAACCAAAACCTTTAATTATTCAGAATCAAGTCAAAGAATTGAATCAAGTAAAGACAACTATATATGTGATTCATGAGAACGTGAACTTACCTTTTTTATTTTTTGTTTTAACTTTTGGCTATCAGGTTTTTGAAACAAGTTGTGAAGCAAGAGTCAAATATAATGATGGATTAGACCTTTATGAATTGTACTTCCTTTCTCGTTTGTACACCTTTATCCAAGCTCATTGGCCTTTCTTCTTTCTTTACATCTTTATCTGTTGTACATATTTCAAAGTTATAAAATCTCTTCGTTTATGTATTTAAAGTAAAATGCAACTACATAATCATATGGGCCTTTGAAGATATTTGTAATTCTCATGTTCAAAGGAAGCTCATAAATCGAATACAATCAGAACAGACACAGCTGACCCAGTTAAATTTTTGGCGGTAATGGATCTGATTCTAGGTACCTCTCGCAAACGTCGACAATTGGAGCTTTCTGTATGTATCATCTGATTTAATCTCATTTGTCTCTTCAACTTCGGAACCTACATTTATTGATCACCATCAATCCATTCCATTCCATCAAATCAACATCAACAATAACAATTGGAATCAACATTCAACAATCAAATTGCCTTTTACTCTTCAAATCACTACTCAATCTAATCAATCAATTTTCACCATTCTTCATGTTGTCTCATGAATCAAGCTGAGCAAGATGAGGGCGGTGGTACATCTGATTGCCGCACTATGACCGCTTCAAGACCTAGAACATCAGCTTCGTGTACTTGTATGTACACCAATCACTGCTCAGGTACAAGATCAGAATCCTCGATATTATGAAGAAGATGAAGGAAAATTTTCATTTGCAGTACCACCTGGTTCGGAATTTATTCCTGCTCAGCCTCTTCCAACTACTCTCACTCCTTCAAATCTTCAAAGCTCAGCTCCTGTCTATCATCAGGCTAATTCTCATTCTCAGCAACCTT